AATCTGTTCAAAATTATATTATTCAATATTAGTTATTATTATTATATGGGTAATTATTTTTGAAGGTGACAAAAATGCTAGATATGATTTTTTCAGATCTAACTTTTAAATAATATATATATAATATAAATTTTAGGATCACATTAGAAAATTTCTGGTCTGCCTTCAAAAATAATTATTTATATATATATATTTTCTTTTATTTTTAATTATATACTTATCTTTTACAGAAAAAATTTCATATTGGACAATAATATATCATATGACAATTTGAAGAATATCTATTGAAAAAAAATTTTAAAATTATATAATAACAAGGATCCACTGAGCAATATCTTATTGTTATCTTATCACTAACCCACAAAGTAACACAGTAATAAGAAAAATGTAAACAATAGCATGGACAAAACAATTTATTTAAAAAAATGATTCTGAAGGTTCATGAACTATATACGGATTTGGGAAGCAAGCAAAATATTTAGTATTGCTAGGATTAAAATTAGAATCTTTATGTGAATAGCTCTTTACCTAAGAAGGATTGTAATTTTAAACAAAAGAATAAAAAGTAATATTAACATGTCAAGAAAAAGAATGATAATTAGAAATAGGATGACAATGCCAAAATAATACTGACTGAAGCTTACCAACATGTTTCCGAAGTACAAAACTTTTAAACGCAAAGCATCTTTTTGATAAAGTTTTGTTACTATTCAACTAGCATTTACCTCAAGAAATGAAGTAATATGAGATTGATAGTGACCTAAGGATTCTTGACCATAAATTAGAAGATGTCGCAATTAATTTCTTTGTTCTTGATATTGAGATTGCAATTGAGATAATTGGTTTTGTAGCTCAATCAACTTTTCTTAATATTTTGGATATTTACATCTAATAATGGTATGACCAAGGAATTTAATTTTCTTTTGAAGAGTCATGATGCAACCAACAGTAGTATCAGGATATTTAACGACACAAGCAAGTCTATTAATACGAGGCATAATTATAATTAGAAAAAGAAAAATAAAAGTATAGCAAGGGAAAAATTCAAGTCTTTAAATATAAAAGTGACCAATAATATTAATTGGTATAACCTCAAAAACTATATAACTACTTATATCCTGAAAAAATTCCTACCATAGAAAATATCCAAATTCATATGCCAATGATCTGCCTTGGGAAAAATAAACTTACTTAAAATAAATATGCTTTCTATTTTAAATGAAACCCTTGAGAGGTTTACTATGCCATATAATTCGATTATACCAATCAATAAGTCTATTAGAATGATAATCTTGAAAATTATTTGATATATATAATAATCTCATCAAATTGTTGTATTAACCTATCTATATTACTTAGGAGAACTATTGAAAGTTACAAGGAACTTGCAACAAACTTGAAAGGAATATATCCAAAAATATCTACTACCTAATCATGGGAGATACTACTAATCCACTATACAAACTTATGAAATTTTTTAAAAGAATATAAAACAAATTTATCAAATAAAATATTTATCTACACACTATATTGCATCAATTAAAATTCTAGTTACTGTATTATATTATATTAAATTAGTTTAATATTTGATTTCGATACTTTTGGTTTGATATCGATATTACAAAGTTTCGTATCAAAATTTTTTGGTAATTACCAATATCGATACTGAAAAAATTTTCGGTATCGGTTTTATAAAATACCATATTGAATAGTATTGATCGAAACTCTAGTTGTATGAGGTTAGATGAAAGAAACAATAGTAATTTGTTTTTGTAAAGGCTAATTTATTTATTTAATAAAATAAAAGTTCAAATTTATCAATTTCTAAGTGAAACTGGAAACTTTATATATATGTTTGAGTTATATTATTTTTGTATATAATAAATATATATTATGTTAAAAATATAAACCTATTTAATTTCAATAATTTCAGTACTTTTAGTTCGGTATTGGTATTGCAAAGTTTCGTACCAAAAATTTTTGATAATTACTGGTACTGATACTGAAAAATATTTTCAGTATCAGTTTTATGAAATATCATATTGAATGGTATTGATCGGAACCCTATTGTTGATGAATGCTTAACAAATTATTTATTGTATACAGAATAATTGACAAGTAGCATATTGCCAAATAATCAGATTTCAATTAGTGTAATGAAAGTATTTTGATAAATAAAATGTTAATTAAAAGCAAAATAGAAAAAAATAAGATAAGTTATAAAAATCTTCAAAATATTATAAATTATTACTAATAATATTTTTAGGAGAGAATTAAAAAAGGACTTAAATTTGAAGATAAAAATTCAAATAATGAAGATGAAAAAAGTTTTTGAAAAATAAAAAAAAAAGATAAATATTTAAAAAAAATATAGAAACAAAAAAAAAAAATTTTTTTTATTAGATTTTAGATTTTTAAAAAATACTTTTTTTTTTTTTTGAAGGAGCAAAAGGCTATTACACTTTATAATACATTTACAGTATAACATACATATCTTTTTCTAGGAAGAGTTAAATGCAAGGCTCCACAGATGCGATCCATTCTCTGTGCTCCTTGGCACCACCCAAGAAATAGAAATTTAAAAAATACTTTTTACGATTTGTAGATTAATTTCTTATATTTAATTATAGACTAAGCAAGAAATAATACATAATTTAGTTTGCTAATAAATATCATGTGATTGATTGATTAGCTTGGAACCTTAACCAATCAAATCTTGCATTGGATAACTAGGATAACTACAAGTCTTAAATCAGTACATAGTTATTCACACACATACACAAGAATGTCGAAGCTCAAAAGCACGTCCGGCATAAAAGCATCTAGAACTCTAAACATAGAGGAACTTGATGAATACAAGCGTGATATCCCTCACTCGGCGATAACACGGCGTCTGTACAATCCACGGAAAGATCCAATTCTTATAACTAAGGCAAAAGCTAATGTTGAGACTGTGGACGATTTTCCTGCCCGTCGAGTTAGTATTCCGAGCCGTAAGTTGTATAATCCCTACGGTGATAAAAACTATGATTGGGAAGAGGCTGCAGGAATAAACGACAAGCGAAATGAAGGTGTCAAGCAGAACATTATAGTAAATTCTCTTTCGTCAGATAATAATCACACGCGAGCCGACGAATCCAAAAACGGTAACCTTGATCGACTTGATGAAACAAATCGAAAAGATGTTGCTACAGAAATCCTCGCCAAAACTGTCAAATCTCTTTCAAGGAAAATAATGTTGATGGAGAGGCCGATTATCGAAAGTTCAGAAAAATTCACAGGAAAAAACTCTGTATCATCACATAACGAATTTTACGAGGAGCGATATTGGCAAGATAAAATTGATGCACATCTGAAGTATGTATAACTGTCACTTAGTCCACGATTTCAAATTGTACTCATTGTTTTCCATTGATAGTTTGGCGAACAAGTACTTTGATTATATTCACCTGAGCTATTCTTTAGCGGCAAAACATGATATTGAGGCTAAATGTTGGAAACTTGGGTTTTATTCGTTGATTGATCAGTTTCGCTATGCAATTCGTCTAGACAAATCACAATCTCGAAATAGATCACACTCCACGGTTATTTTCGAGCAATTTGGAGCTTTTTTGAATGAGGCAGAAACCTTTTATAAAAGACTACTAAAGCAAATTGCTGCTGATACGAAGCATAACGAGAAATCTTCTGAGAAAAATAAACCTCCCAGATGGATTCGTTGCGTTAGCTGTTTAGGAGATATTACTAGGTATCAATGGACATATTGTTTAGAGGACAATGGAAAGAACAAGGACTTTTGGGCCAGAAACGCGTCGCGTTGGTATTGTATAGGGATTCAGCTAAATTCAAATAATGGTAAGCAAGGGTTAAATTATTCCGCCTTATACAATTTATTACAATATTAATGTGTTTTCGGTTCCTAGGTAAATTTTACCATCATTTGGCAATTCTCGCGGGTGCGGATGAATTTAAATCGCTCTATTACTTTTGTAGAAGGTATATATATTACAGAATTAATTACCATAAATGTCATCATAACTTAAAAAATAAACAAATGAAATATTCTTATTTTAAGTCTCTCGGTCAATACTCCTTTCTCCACTGCTCGTGAGTCATTAGTCGCATTGTTTGAAACAAATCGCCTACGATTCCCTAAACTTAATAAACAAAAACCAAGGCAAAAACAAAAGGCTCGTCGAAATTATGTTCAAAAAGAAAAACCCATCGATATCTTCGCTGATCAGTCGATTGAGAATTTATTTGTTCGATTACATGGAATGCTTTTCACAAAAATTGGTCTCGATGATTTTGAGCAAACCTTTGAAATCTTTTTAGAAAAATTGTGCAAATGGAAGAGTCCTCAAATTGCTAACAATAAAAACGAAACTCAATGGCTAGAATGCTATTTACAAATGGCGGTGGTTAATCTCTCTAGCATGTATAACTATGGGAATAATGAAGGTTCTTTTCTTGGCCAATACAACTCTTGCGCAAACATAGATACAGATCCCACATTTTCCGAAAAGTCTATGCTCACTTTCATCGTTATGAGACAGTTTATGTCCAATTATCTTGATTCGTTATTGTACCAAGAAAAAAATGACCTTTCTGAAGGTTGGCTCTTGTATTGCGAAGTTGTAATGCTTTGGATGGTTGCCGATGGAATTTTTGACGGATTTGGGGATGAAGTCAACAAATCAATCGGAATGTATATATGTCCAAACTTCTGGGAAACATTGGCGAAATTCCTCACGGAAATAGCACATCAAGTATCTCTACTTACTAAGGAACAGGTTCTGGACAATTTGTCTGACGAAAAACCCAGATTTAGCCTTCTTCAACCCCCATTGAATGAGGACTTGGAATTACTTGGCATTTCCTGGCTTAATCCATTATATGAATCGTATTTATCTGAGTGCGAAAATAAATCCCATATCAAATTTGATGCGTACGAAATTGATAACATTATAAATGTTATTTATAACGAACGTAACTTGAGTATAGAACAAGATGCCAAGGTTCGCAGAAGAGCGAGAATTATGGAGTTAGGTCACATTTTATCCGCGGTAATTCATTCGTTTACTTAATCATCGGTTTTCTTTTGCTTGAGATTGCACCTAATGATTCGTATAAAATTTACAGAAAATTATAGGCTTTATCTATGATGCTGAAAGTTCTACATTTACTTCTAGTCCAGAGCTCAATGTTGAACATGGAGACTCGGTCACCAAAGAAAGTCAGATGTCCAATAAGTTTTTGTCCGAAGAGAATACCTTAAGTGAAAGGGCTGAGACGATTGAGATTGAAGACGAGGAAAGTGAAGTTGATAGTCATGACGAGGATGATGAAGAGATCAAAGAATTAAAGGTATTTTTTAGTCGAGCCTTTTAAAATTTTTTGGCAAATTAAGAAAAAAAACTTTTTTTTTGAATAATTATTAATTACTTGCTTAATAGTCACGTCGTCAAGAATTAGAAAATCTTTTAGTCGCAAGTCGTAGTAATAGCTCATCAAAACAAAGACCTTTGAGTGTTTCTAAGGTTCAACAACAAGTTGTATCAAAGAAAACGCTTTCCAGAATTGTTCCTGGCTATACTACACTTGTAGTTGATACTAATTGTCTTGTGGGAGACCTCGTTATGGTAAAGAAAATTATATGTAGCGACAATTGGGTAGTGGTTGTGCCCTTAGTTGGTAAAATCTCTTTTCAGTTATTAGCTATATTTTGTGTTAAAAGAATGTATAACTGATATGACTTTTTAATAGTTGTAACTGAGTTAGACGGTCTAAAATTAAACACACCACCTCTCGGCACTGCTGCATCTGAAGCCCTTGTTTTCCTTGAGCAAGCATTGTCAATGACAAACAAGATGAGGAAAATTAAGATTCAAACTAGTAAGGGAAATTATGTTTCGGGAATTAATTACAGTGAAGAATTTGACTTCGGCAGCGGTGAAGGCAAAAAGAAGAACATGGATGATCTTATCCTGGGCATTTGTCTGTGGCATGCGAAGAATCGTGAAGAAAACAAATCTCATGAAAGTGAAAATAATGAAGTAATCGTATTACTCACTAATGATCGGAATCTCAGAGTGAAGGCTCGTGCTAGAGGCATCGATGTCATAGGGGCACAAGATTTCTCTGGCTTGATATGAAATATGTTGCTGAAATAATGTTTGAATGATACTTAAGTGCAAATAAAGTTTGCATTTAAAAAATTTAGCGCTTAAGGACTGTCGTAATGGTAAACAAAATATCTTCATTTAAGCTTAATTGGGGTTTTTATGCTAACAAACGATTATTTATCCTGGATTAGATCAGCCGGTCGTCGCTTTGACGATTCTTTGATTGCGATAAGTACTGGGAAGAGGGTCAGTTATATGTATACGTATGATGCGCGATTCTCGTTATTCCCTATTCTTATTTGAGCAATCGAAGAAGCCATCAAAAGATTTTTATTTCGTTAGTCGCTCATATGAGATTACGAAAAAGCTCACCTTTTAGAAAATGTGAAATTAATTCGAGCTTATTTCACGTTTGAGTAATACGCTCTTTACACCTTATAGTTTATTACAAGACTGGATTATCTAATTCTAGATAGTTATCTTCATTATTTCATTTCAAATAAGATTATAGCGTTTGTGGTTACTAATCTTTTATTTTGAATTTTATTACATTCACAATTTGGAAAGGTATTTCAATATCGCCTAGAGTTTTTCTATATATTTACTGCATAATTACTATGTATGTTACTAACAATGACGATTTAATAAATATTTCTTATACACTTAAGATACGAGTTCCTTATATAGCAATTGATTTGAAGGTGGATATATGATTTATAGGCCTTCTTTAAAATTTATATTGTACATACGTTTTCCTACATATATTATCCAGTGTACCATCAATATTTCGGATTCTTTTAATTGAATTTATATCAAGATATCCGAATTTAATACAATATTTATGGAACATTTTTCAAAATAAGCTTATCTCCGGACGCTTTTCCATTTATTCTGCCGGCTCAAAATCAGCGACTGGATGGTATTAATCAGATATAATTAACATATAATCAATAATTCACAGGTGTAAATTAGTAATGGATTTTTGAAAAACTTTAACTTTATATTTACTGTAAATTACGTATTAATAATTCTACTTCTTGATTAAAAGATATTCGTATATTGAATTTTTATTAAAAATATTGAATTTAAATAATCTATTTTTTTTTAAAAAAAGTAGGCAAGCACTACTTATTTATTTATTTTATATATACAAGGTATACCTTTAGAAAAGAAACAATATCACTTAGGTGCAAAATATACAGTAAGTTAAATCTATCACAACTATCTAATCAATATATTGAAAAAGATTTTAAAACAATATACTGTACATGTGATTAAATAATGTTGAGCAGTTATGCAGCCTTACTTAGAATCTTTTTGAAAAATTATAACTGTATTTAAGGTTTTATAGAAATAAAAATAACAATATTAAGAGAATTTTTTGTCCTTGGTTTTTTGATTCCTTGTGACTTGTTATTAATATTTTTACTAATATAGATGCTTGAGTATAAATTACTATATAAAATTGATAGTTAATATGTTGATTGGTTTGATCTTCTTTCTTATTGTTATTGATATATTAACTTTATTAAAGATATTATAAAAATAATAACAATAAAGAAAAAATTTTTTTATTAAAAAAAAACTCTTTTCTATCATAGCTTTTTTTTAAAAAAAATTTTTTATAGTAATTTTTTTTTAAAATTAAAGAAACAATTATTTTTTTATCTCTTAATATCCAAAAGTCCTTTACACTTTCTCTTTCTTTATTACAAGAGTCTCAAAGAAATTAAATAAGTATACTGATATATTAAAGTAAAATCTTTAATTAATAAAAGCAAGTTTGGAAGTCTTGTTTTTTCTTTGAATTGCATAAGAAAAGACCTGTGACAGTTACATTTTTACAAATTTTCTTTAGGATTTTTTCTATTTTTTCATCTTTTTTCTAATATATAAATCTTTTTAAATAATTATATTTTTTGTTTAAAGAACTTTTTTTCAACAAAATAAATCAAACTTCATATCAAAATTGTTTATATTGTTGACTTGAGGAACTAACAATATATTTAATACTTATCTTTTACTATTGCTTAATATATTTTTCTGTACTATTAAAAATTAAAAATTTTTACACAAAAAATTTTTTATCAAAAAACTATAATTAGTTTACTCCTGTCAACTAATTGATATTCAAAATCAAATTAATCCAATATTATTAAATTTCAAGCAATTCCATATAATTAAAATATTATATAACAATTAATATAAACAAATTTTATTTTGACAATATTAATCAAAACAAGATTATATTACAAAAAAATAAATCAATCAACATATTAACAAAAATATTAACAATTATAACAATAATATATAATTTAAAAAGACCTGTGGATTCATAGTGTAGTGATTAACACTTCACAGATCAGATTACAAGATATCAGTTCAACCCCAGGTGAAGGTAGTTGAATTGAATTAAAAATGATATCTGGGACCATAACCTGTTAAGCCCTGTTTCCTATAAGAAGTTATTTGCATGCTGATCCAGTAGGACATTGGGATTGTGATCTCCAGAAAAGATGTCATGGCACTGTTATGAGTGTTGATAGTACTATTTTTAGATTATTATTTTATAGTATTATATTATTATATTATTTCTATTATTAGTTATTTAGTATATATAGTATAGTGAGTAGATATGACATTTCTGCCAGATATGACTGATCAGCCTAATTGATCTGATCGACCTGATCGACCTAATTGACCTGATCGGCTTGATTAGACAGAACAGCCTGAACAATCTAAGCACATAATCAAGGATATCAGATATATCTGACTGAACTGGCATATTTTGTCACTTATTTACATTTTAGTTTCATATGATTCAAACATGTATAAATAGAACAGCTGTTCTTCTCAACTGTTCAAGAAATTTTCTAACTTTTCCCAACTCTCTCTAATAAAACCTATCTTGAAACCATAATCAAATCACCATGCTTTTTGCCTTGGAAATAAATCTTGCCCAATTCCTTCACCTTACCAACACTAGTATACTACAACTGAGACTATTTTCCTCTAAATTAAGTGGTTCCCTGCTATAGTTGTCTGTTGATCTATTTAATTTTAAGGTTTATTAAATAGGTTAACAGTGTGAAGATTGTCTAGTTGGTGTTATAATAATCACCAGAAGTTGTAAAGTATATAAGGTGTCCACTTTTGACAAGTAGGTTTGATAATCCTTCCCCTAATATCCAGCGTCTTTCATGCAAATCCCTGCTTTAGTCTTATTTCAATTCAGTAATAAACCGGTCTGGCAGTACTTATTACAAGAAGGTTTTTAGCTATAAGTCCTATTCCCTGCAATATGTAAGTTGATGTTCAGGTGATAAGTACCAGTTATAAGTACCTTGAACATTCTTAGGTATCATTGAACAGGTAAGAAATTAAATGGTTAGTCCAGCTACAGGTGATGGTAAAGGGATTTATCCTCAATGGAGCAAGTAGTGATTATGTAGCTTTATTCACTATAGATATTATCCCTAGTGCTCCCTTTCAACTTTTTTTTAATTTCTTCCTAGTTAGAAATAAAGCTATCCAATTACTAGTGAAAATGTACGCTACTGATCTAATAAAGAATTATCTTTGTTTAGCAGATTAGCCTTTATACCTAATATAGTTAGAAACAAGCTACAGCAAATATCATTATTTAGAACAATCCCGATAAGTGTTAGGTATAATTGACAACTGATACGTTATAGCATAGTCCTAGATAGTAATGTCAAAAGATATATGTAAACATCATTATTAAGAATAAATACTCAACCAGACAATTATTGTTAGTGCACTTTAAAAAAAAAATAATAATAATAATAAAATAATATATAATTTAAATAATTATTAGAAAATTTTTTTAATGAAGATTTCTGAAGATCTCTATCCAAAAAAGATTTTCAAAAATTTCTGAAAAAATCTTTAAAAATCTTTAAAATAATAAACTCTGGAAATTTTTATTTCAAAAAAAATTTAAAAATCTTTGAAATAATAATAATTATATTAAAATAAATAATTATTTAATAAATATTCATTACTTTTATCAAATATTGGAATTACAGTATATGAATTAAATTATCTATTGCTCTTATATTTATTAGATTATATACAATAGAGAACAAAAAAAACCACCTTTAATATTTTTATTATAACTTTATAAAAACTTATTTAAATAATAAAAAAATTTTAATATATATTCTTTAAAATTTAAAGAATAAGATTACTTAAAGATAAATTAATTAAAAAACTCTCCCCTGATTATATTTACTTTGCTAAAAATTTTACTTTTATAATAATTTTTGTCAAGAAAAAATGTTTTACACTCTTTATCACAAGTAAGCCCCAGCTCAAGAACTCAAGAACTTTCAAGACAACTGGTGCAATAGAATGAAACCTCTGGTCGAAGTCTACTTAAGTTTGGGAGTCTTGCTTATCCTTCGGTTGCATGAGGAAAGGCTTATGACAGTTCTCTTTTCTTTTGTTCTCTTGCACCTCTCCTTTCACCTATTATAACATAAAAACTATCTATATCAATACCATTATATACGTTAAGTCAAATACTTTCCAAAAAACACACTCAAACAGAGTTAGGTCTACTGTTTGTTTTAACACAACCTTTACATACAACCTTACTATAGTGACAATTACTGTGCCATTTCAAAATTTTCAAAACTTTTTATCCAAAAAACTAAAATCAATTTACCCCCTCCAGATGATCGTTGCTCTCCAATCATCCAATTAGATTTTGTTAAAACAATAAAGAAAAAACCAAACCTGTTCAAATTGGTTTTCCAGTACAACAACAACAACAACAATAACAACAAACAATGTCATGTGTACTCTTCTATCTATGATAATAAAAGAATCGGAGAGATGGGACCACATGCCTGTCTGGAGGCTTTTTTGGGAAAATAATTGGATTTCTACTTATAGATTTTATAGTCTATTCGATTTAGTTTTGGTTTTAGTTACTGTTGTTATTTTTTTTTCATTTATTTTTTATTCAAAAAATCAAAAGATTTTGCAAAATTTTGTCAAGTAGG